AGGAGGGCCCACTGTGGGTGGTGCCTTCCCTAGGCAGGTGGGTTTTGACCGTATAGGAAAGGTAGCTGAGCAAGCCAGTAGAAATAAGCCAGCAAGCTGCTGCTTCAGTTTCTGTTTCCAGATTCCTGCCTTGAGCTCCTATCCTGGCTTCCCTCAATGATGAACTGTACCCTATAAGATGAAATAAGCCCTTTCTTCCCCAAGTTGTTTTTGGCCAGTGTTTCATCACAGCAACAGAAAGCAAACTAGAACATTCTACTCCTGCTAGTCCACGTCAACTTAAATGATGTTTATGAGTGAATATATATGCCTATATACTCTGTGTTTCACTGGATTGTAAGCTTTGTTGTACTGACCAAACTGACCCCATTTTGGACAAAGTAACTATCTTAGAAGCTTAGCCATGCTGTATTTCTAGCTCAAGGATTGTTTATAGAAGCCCTGACCCCTTTCTCCCTTTTCCTCCCAAGAGAATGCTGCCACAGTCACTTGCTCTCTAGACATATAGAAAACAAAATTATTATGATATGACTAACTGCTGATTCTGGCTTCTGTAACTTGCTTGCTTTGCTATTTTAGGGCACCTTGACATGTAGACTGAGATCATCCTCTACCCTGTTATTCGGGGACCACCTTGTCAACATTCCTTTTTATGGTTTTTAGCTTTAAAAGGTCCCCTTTCCCTCTCCCTCCCCACTGCAGCACTTTAATCCGATACCGTGACTGCAGTCCAAGCTAGCTTGAAGAAAATCTTTTATCTCGATCTGTATTGAGTCTGGTGGTCTTTCCTCAGTAGTCCTGGGGTCCATAACGTCATGAGAGTAGCAGTCATATCTGACTTATTATGGATGAACTACTGACACACAGTGGCTGACACATAAAAGGTACTTAATACTTGTTCAATGGCTGAATGAATTATGGTGTCTTAGTCACTTTTCTGTTGCTGTGATAAAACACCGACCAAAGTAACTTATAGAAGGAAGAGTTTATTTAGCTTATGGTTCCAAAGCGGCAAGAGTCCATCATGGTGGGGAGGCATGGTGGCAGAGGTAACTAGAGTAGAAAGTTTAGCACTCCTATCTTGAAGCAGGCACAGGAAGCAGAGTGAAACTAGAAATCCTGGAAATCTGGCATGGTTTAAGAACTCTCAAAGCTCACCCCAGTAACATGCTTCTTCCACATCACATCTCCTAAAACCTTCCCAAACAATGCCACCAACTAGGAACAAAATGTCCAAATACTTGGCGCCTACAGGGGACACTCTCATTTAAACCACCACAGATGGTTTCTACTATTGATCAATCAATACATTTTTAAACTCCTTTTAACCCTTTTCTAATTTCTCTTCCATAATAATCTTGTCTCACAGTTGAGAAAAATCAAAATAAATCAGAAAGAACACTCCCATATACCTGGCTTGGTAATCCCAGCACTTGGGAGGCAGAGGCAGGAGGATCACTGCAAGTCAAGACCAGCCTAGACTATATAGCAAGATCTTGTCTCAAAAACCAAAAGAAGAAACAGGAAAGAAGGGTCCTACACCCCTACTACCCACAGCCCAATATTCTTAGCCTTCCTCTGTCTCCCCAGGCTCCTATGCCTTTACTATGCATCTGCCCTCTGTCTTCCACACTGTCTCTCTAGATGAAGCATCCCTCCTATCAAAGCCAACTCTTCCACTGTGCCCTTGATCCCTCCCCATCTGCCTACATAATCTCTCTCGACATACTATGGTGCCCCAATATGTCCCATCTTTAAAACGCCTTCCACTAAACACACTGCCCTCTCTGGTCACTGCCTCAAGTTTAGAGTTGTCTTCCCTTGTTTCTCTAGCCATTTCTGACAGCTCGGTAAGCCCCACTCCCAAAGTTGCCTCTTGTGGCTTCTGATTTGCATGTTCTGATTTCCCTCCTGCTTCTTCTGTAGCTCCTCTTCCACCTTTGCTTTGCCTCCAATGATGAAGGGTCCCAGAGCTTTATTTTTATTTCTATACGTGTGTGACAACTGAAACTGGACCTCACCATTTCAGCTAGACTGTCTAGCCACTGCCCCCCACCCCATACTGGAGTTATAGATGCACACTACCACACCTGGCTTTTTATGTGGGTACTGGGAACCTGAACTCAGGTCCTCATACTTGCATCCCTGCTGAGCCATCTCCTCAGCTCCTTATTTCTATTGTTTTTAACTGTGCAAATGCTTAGGTGCCCTACTTAGCTTTAACTGTCAAAGCCCAGAGTCACCTGAGAAAGGAGATATTGCATAGACCAAATTGGCCTGTAGGCATGTCTGTGGAGGATTGTCTTGATTGCCTTAATTGATATGGGAGGGTGCAGCCCATCATAGGCAGCTCTATTTCCTTGGCAGGTGGTCCTAAAGCTGAATAAAAAAGTAAGCTAAGCATGAGCCCGTGAATGAGCCAGCAAGCAGCCTTCCTCCATGGTTTCTGCTTCAGGTTCCTGCCCTAACATCTCTCAACGTTAGACTATAACCTGTCAGCTAAAATAATCCCTATCTTCCCCATGATGCATTTGGTCAGAGAGTATTATCACAGCAGCAGAAATGTAACTAGAACAATAAGTTATCCAACCTGTCCCTAGGCCCTCTACTTAAATGTCTATTTCAGCCAATTTAATAGTTATGGTTTCATTTCTGTTTATGCAAATGCCTACTCAACAGCTCATGGATATGTAAAAGGCATTTAAAATATAACATGACCTAACCCTACCTCTTGATTTTCCTCCTCCCAACCTACTTCTTCCCACAGTGTTTCACATACTATAAATGGTACACTATGCACCCAAATGCCTGTCAAAATATAGACTCTAGGACTGGAGAGATGGCTTAGCTGTTAAGAGCACTGGCTGCTCTTGCAGAGGACCTGGGTTGGGTTCCCAGCACCCACCTAGCAGCTAACAACCATTGATAACTCCAGTTCCAGGGGATCTGACACCCTCTTCTGGCCTCTGTGAGCTTTGTACAACATGGTTTCACTTACATACTTGCAGGCAAAAACACACACATAAAATCAAAGTAAGTTAAAAAAATAAAGGAACATTGGATACTCTTGCAGAAGACCCAAGTTGGGAACCCAGCACCCATGTGGTGGCTAACAACAGGCTGTAACTCCAGTTCCAGCAGATCTGACATCTTCTGACCTCCACAAGCATTACATGACGTGGGTGCACTTACACACATGCAGGCAATACACTCATACACTAAAATAAAATATGTGTAATGCTTTTGGAGAAGGCAGCTTTGGATCCCCTGGAGATGGAGTTAAGGCCAATTGTTAGCCACCAGTGGGTGCTGAGAACCCAACCTGGGTCCTCTGCAAGAGCAGCCAGTGCTCTTAACTGCTAAGCATCTCTCCAGATCCAATAAAGTATTTAAACAACAACAAAAAAAACCTCTTCTAAGATCTTGCTTTTAACTACTTACCCATCACCTCCTTGCCTATTATGTTCCAGTCACAGTGGACTTTTCCTCCTCTTCCTCCTCCTTTTCCTTCTCTTTCTTGAATATAGAAAACTTTCCCATGCCTGCATTTTTGTTTTTGGGTTTTTGGTCTTTTTTGAGACTGGGTCTCCCTGTAGCCCCAGAGGCCTGGAACTCACTAGACCAGGCTGACTTTGAACTCAGAGATCTGCCTGCCTCTGCCTCTCAACTGCTGGGATTAAAAGTGTGAGGCACCCAGCCCAGCCTTCATGTCTATATTTTTATCCCCTCTAATTGGAACACTAGTGTGACAGCCTGAGCTCCTCCGTTTTATGTTAAACCACCATCTTGGTGAGCAGGGTGATACCCTACCCTGGCCCATGCCAGCAGTTCCAGGAAGAGCTGACCCTGGAGGAACACACCCATAAAATCCTTTGAGGCACTGGTTGAGACTTATCTCAGCTTTAGTGACTACTTGCTTAGCTGGCTTATGTAACTGTTTGCTTATACATGGCCTTAGAAACAAATTGCTTGTACCAACTGCTTGGTCAGGATGCAATTTTTTTTTTTTGCCTTTAAAAAGTTTTACTTTCAGTCACACCCCCTTAATCCCAGCACTTGGGAGGCAGAGACAGGCAAATCTCTGTGAGTTCAAGGCCAGCCTGATCTACATAGCAAGTTCCAGGCTAGCTGGGGCTACAGGGAGACCTTGTCTCAAAAAGACCCCCCCAAAAGCTTCACTTTCCTCTGAGAGCTACTGTATTCTCTAAATTGGATCAGAGAGTGCAGTCTTTGGCCAGCTAAATACATTCAGCTGATTCAGAACTTTGAGTCTGACTGGTCTTTTCCCAGTGATCTCAAACTCAGTAAATTAGGTAGTCTGGCTCTACGCAGCCAGTCTAAGGAACTTGCAATCACTTCACCTTATTTAAATTTTCTACAAACCACAAAAACCACTGAAATTTGGTTTGTCTTCCACTCCTGTTCAATTACTACATTCGTCAGTCTACCATACTGCATGGCATATGGTAAATGCATAAGTGCCTTCTGTGTGTCCTAGGGCTGTGCCAATCTATGAATGTTGCACGCTTCCCACCTGAGCAGGATACTCTCACGAAATGTGAATTTCATATTGAGGGTTAACGGCATATACGTTACAGCCCACCTTACACTAGTCACCTGTCTTCCCCACTCGATTTCCTCACTCCTACACTTGCAAAAAAAAAAAAATTAGAGGGATTTGGAAAACATTCCGTTGGATTCAAAGACTAAAAGAACCAGAACGAGAAAACAGCTGAAAGCCTGGAGGTAGAAGACTTCTCCGCCCAAGGGCAAACTGCAAAGATTCGCGGACAGACCCATCGCACTGCGTGCTGGGAGCTGTAGTCTCCCGGGAAGACGTGAGGCTGATCAGAATCCCGAGGCATGATGGGAGCTGTACTCAGAGTGCCTGAACACCCAATAGCGAATGTGAAATTCCGCTTTGCATCCTGGGAATTGTAGTCTTTCTGCGACCTCGCACCTCCCGGGTGAAGAGGTGCTGAGGCTGCCGCCATTTTAGGTCCCGAGGTGCCGCGACGGAAAAACAGCGCGCAGGCGGGCTCAGCCGGGCGCCTAGCGCGCCCCGCCTCCGGGGTGCCGGGCGCCCGCCCCTCGCCCAAGCTCCGCCTTTCCCCACGTGTCTGCGGCCGAGGGGAGGTGCCTGAGCCGGAGCGGGCTATCTACCGGTCCGGCCCGGTCCTCGCACAGGTTTCCGTCGGCTGCGCCCGGTACCTGCCCCGGCTGCCGGATGCTTCCGCCCCGGCTGTGGCGGGCCGGGCTGGACGCCTAGTGCCCGGTTCGAGCCCGGCCTGAAGCGCCCGCGGGGGTGGCAGCGGCCTCCGCCCCGCGGAGACCGAGCTGCTTGAGGACGAGGCGGCGGCCGCGGGGAGGAGGATGGGGGCTAACCAGTTAGTGGTGCTCAACGTGTACGACATGGTGAGTGCGGCCCCGGGCGCCGGCGAGCTGTGGCGGGCTGGGACCCCGGGCCGGCGCTTCCTGCCGCGCGTCCCCGCCTCCAATTTAGTTCTCCGGGGTGGGGGGAGGGGCCGTGGTGCTGGCTTCTGATCCTCCGACCGGCCGGCGCTTGTCTTGGAGCTGCCCAGTCTGCCCGAGCGGGGCTGGAGCCTCTCCGATGCCTCCGCTCCCCTGGCTGTGGGCCCGACCCCTCGGCGGATGAGCGGTGTCCTTTCCGCCAGGCTTCCGTCGCTGTGCCGACCTCCCCGCCGCCACCTGGCCTGGGAGCTGCCCGGCTCCCCTCTCCTCTGCTTCTGCAGAGCCGTCCACCCCTGCAGATGCTCAAGTCTTCAAAAACTCGCGAGCCCCTCTGAAGTCTAGAAAGTCACAGCTGCGATGCTTTGCCAGTCTCCCCAAAGGCGAACAGCAGCGAACACACCCTCGCCTCCAAGGCAACCTCATTAAAATGAATGAAGCTAAAAATTTATCTAGAAAATAACCCCGCTGAATTATTTAGGATCATAGTGGCGCTCCTTTCCTAGATTGAAGACCACTTTCCAGGTGATGCAACAGGTGGATGACGTGACCACAAGCGAAGGAAGGGAAACCTTGTTTATTATGTCATCTAACTTCGAGGGGCTACAAGCCCACAGGCTGGGGTTCAAAGTCTGTGGCTGCTCTTGAATATGTCCAGAAAAGCACCCGGTAGAGAATGGTCCTGACAGATGAGTGCTTGGGTTTATTCACTGGCCTTTGGTTACTTAGTTTTGGAAAGGATTACCTCTACCTCAAATGGCTAAAATTTCTTGAAAGCGGATTGACAGATGAAAGCTTCTCCGTCATTTTTGTTGGTTTAAAAATACTAAAGAGTAGAAATTCAGCAGCAAGGAGTCTTGGTTACTATTTAGAGATCTGAACTTTTTATTCCCTTGTGTTAAGTTTCTAAATGAACGGTGTTCTATGGATAGAAAAGGATTTACTGTTGTATCTGAGAATTATACCAACAGGGCGTAGGGTAGGGTCTGCCTGCCGCTAGAAGGTAGCCTCCTCCCAGGCTCGAATGTAGGTCTGTTAAAGGAGGTGGCTTAGCAGACTAAAGGAAAGTGATAGAACAAGTTGAAGAGAATAATCCGAAGCTGAGGTCCTAGACCCGCAGAGCTTTTCATGTGATCAGTGGCATGCATCACAGACTAGGAGACAGTTCCTGGATTTGAACTTTTTGTGTTTTTCTCAACTCCTTAAGACTTAATATTGCCCTTTTATTGTTTCAGTGCTGCCTGCCCTTTAGACTTTGGATTACTCTTAATTGATGAAGACTATTATAAACTGTCCCTCAGGGTTTGTCTGACTCTGGGGAATATATATTGAGATTGCACCTTTTAAAAAAAATAAATTAGGATTATGCAATGGCTAGTAGCCATGGTTTCAGAACCCCAAAAGAAGTATATGAGAGTTTTGCTTTTTAAATTAATTTGAAACTGCATACATGCACACAGTAGATGTTCTGTGAATCAGGAAAATCACTACTAATTGTGGCAAAGTGGTAAAGGCTAGAGATATTCAAACCAATGTTTCTTAGGGAAAGAGTATGCTGAACAATGTTAAAATATTAATTAACAAAGATCTTACTCGTTTCACTTTAGTAGATAGTTACATAGAAAGCAGGCAGAGAAGAGGGTAAGGGACCACCTCCTAGGTGACTGAAAATAGGATCTAGAATTTCTAGACCACAGTCTTGATTCATACTGTCTTTAGTGAACAATTCTCATGATTATTTCTTATATACTGCTTTATCCTGTCAGTAGAAAGCATATGAGTCAGAATGTTAGTTGATTATTTAAGAAACTTGCCCTTTTCTTTTAAAGGTTTTTTGTCTGTGAGTGTATCACTAATTCAAACAACGTGTCATTACTTATTTAATTTTGACCGGTGGAAACTATGGGATCAGTTATCCTCTCTGCTTTTAGGAATTTAGGATATCAGAAGGACGATGCAAGAAGAGTTATAAGCAGAAGAGCATTATTTTGATGGAGCAGAGAAGCCTGCAAAGAACGCTAGTGGTTATAGGATTAGGAGGTGCTGAAAGAGGAAAAGGTGAAACCTGAAGCACTGGTCGAGTCTTCAAAGGCAGGGGACACTCAGCATGAACAAATGGCCGGAGAGGGAGAGCACAAGCTGAACTGGCAAGTAGGAGCGGGCCCAGGCTAGCTGGAAGTTAGCATGCTTCTTGAAAGGAAACAAAACCAAGCTCTGCAGGAGCTTCACTGGTCAGTAGACAGGTGAGAAGGACTGAGGGGGCTCTGAGAGCCAAGGAAAAACGAAGTCTTCCTGGAGCGGAGTGATGTGATCACAGTGAGCTTTTAGAACAAGTCAGTGAATTGAGGTACTCATTTTTCTCTGTTATACCCATTTTTTCAAATCGGTTTTAGTTTTTGATGTGTTTTGTTTGATGTCCAGGGTAAATTCCTTTTATCTTTGGTTTGAATTTCTGTTCTTTGTAGATGCCTTTGAGAATTACTGCTGTCTATAAGCCTGTTCTAAACATAATATGAAAATCAGTCATTAGTTTTTGTTGTAAGAATCATGGGTTAGGGCTGGAGAGATGGCTCAGTGGTTTAGAACACTGACTGTTCTTCTAGACAACCTGGGTTCAGCTCCTAGCACCCACATGGTGGCTAACAACCATCCGTAACTCCAGTTCTAGGGGCTCTGACTCCCTCTTCTGACCTCCAAGGGCATTGTATGACATGGGTGCAAACTATGAGATCATCCTGGCACTACCTGGGGCGGGCAGCAGGTGGGCAGGTGTTAGGGAGCCAGAGAAGACTTACTACGACGTGAGCTCTTCCTCTTCCAGCTCGAGCATCGGACCCCAGAGAAAGCTGCACCCACAGCATCCCCGTTGCTGACCACAGCTGGTGCCCTGCAGGGAGAGACATACAGGTGAGACAGCAGCCTCCAGTGGGGCCTCTCCACACCAGCAGGGTGGCAACTAAGGAGGATGGCTCAGGGTCAGGCCACCAAGGCGGCCAGAGCTGTGTTGGCCACATCTCTATCTTCAAAAGATACTGTAAAGCCCAGCCTACTGAAGAGCGTGAATATCAAAAGTGCTCACAGCAGCACCAGGCCAGAGAGCTTGCTCTGTGACAGAAGCCCTCTCCTGACAGGGTCTCAGCCATGACAGGGTGTCAGCCAGAGGCCCTCACTCCACTCTCCTCACATCAAGCAAGGGCAGCCAGGCATCCCTACCCCTTCCCCACACCAGAAGCAAGGACTGGGGATGGAGAGATGGCTGAGCAGTTAAGAGCACTGGCTGCTCTTGCAGAGGACCTGGGTTCAATTCCCAGCACCCACATTGTGGTTAACAACCATCCATAAATCCAGTGCCAGGGAAACTCGACGCCCTCTTCTGACCTCCAAGGGCATTGTATGACATGGGTGCACTTACATACATGCAGGCAGTACACTCATACACATAAAATAAAAAAATAAAGTCACGGGTTAAGGGGCTTGGTTGCCATGTGCGCTTGTGTCTATCACTGGCTTCAGCTCTGACTGTATTTTTCCTGATCACTAGATTGGGTGGCTATATGGATCATTCCTCCTTTTTCTGAACTACCACATCTAAATAATCAGCAAGGTTGCCTATGTTAACGTCTTGTGGAGGAATAGGGTAGTCCTGAGAAAGTTATTTAATCATGTATAGTGTTGCTAAATTATTACTTACTCTCTTCTGGGTGGTTATATTTCTCTCTGCACTTTGGGGCAATTTACTTCCAATAAAATATGGCCTGAAGTTATTTTCTACATCTTAGAAAGAGGTTATTTGTATATGCCTAATTTATGTATATGCACAGCAAGGCAGGAGATTCAGATTTGTTTCAATTACTAGAACAGATCTCTGGTATAGTTGTTTTAGCACAGTCTTTATTTTTCATAGGTCTGGATTTTGTGTACTTTTAGGTTATCTGAGCTATTCACGAATTCCTTAAAAATAAAAATATGTGCCAGGCATGGTGGTGTATGCCTTTCTTTAATCCTAGCACTTGGGAGGCAGGGGCAGATGGAGCTCTGAGTTCGAGGCCAGCCTGGTGTACGTAGTGAGTTCCAGGCCCACTGGGACTACAGGGAGACCCAGTCTCAAAAAGATCAATAAATAAATTAATCAATAAGCTGGGTATGGTGTCACACGCCTTTAATCCCAGCACTTGGGAGTTCGAGGCCAGCCTGGTTTACATAGCAAGTTCCAAGTCAGCTAGCTGGGGCTACAGGGAGACCCTGTCTCAAAAAGACCAAAATAAATAAATAAAAATAAAAATCTGCACCTGTTTTATGTTTATCAATTCATACCATAAACAAATTTCTTCCTTTTAAAAAATAGTGCCTATGTGTTTTCAGTCTTTACAAAATAGGAAAGAAACACTAGGACTCTTCAGGTTAGGACGTTTTTGTCTGGATTTGCCAGCCTCTCAGACTCCTGAAATAAAGTGTGAGGTTATGTGATTTCAATAGGTCTGACTTCTCATATATCTGTAGATTTAATTCAGGCTTTCTAAACAAGTTCCAGGCTGTTCATACATACTTAAATTCATTTATTATGTACAAATGTACTCTTCACCTAAATGGTTCCATAAAATCTGTGAATCCACAGGTCCATCCCCTCCTTTCTATGTCCATCCTACCATCTGCTCCCTCAGTGCAGGCGCCCCCCAACTCCACAACTGCCATTTTTAATACCTAGCACTTTCCTTTACTCAGTATCTTAAACCAAAAACTTTCAGAGTAAGCCTCAATTCTTTTTGTATTGTAAGAGCTTGTCAGTCACCTAGTTGTCTCTCAGTTTTGGTTATCTTTGTGAAAGTAACAGAATTTAGCAGTCGGTGCTTAAATGTCTTAAATCCAGAGATAAAAGTCCCCGAGATAGAGTTTTCATCGTCCTGTTCTGCTATTCTCAGCTTGCTGGCTTCTGTCCTTGATTTGTG